TAGTCCCAGCTACTTGGGAGGCGGAGGCAGGAGACTCGCTTAAGCCTAGGAGTTGGAGGTTGCTGTGAGCCGTGATGCCACGGCACTCTACCCAGGGGGATAGCTTGAGGCTCTGTCTCAAAAAACAAAACAAAACAGTAAGTAGTTCAGCTGCCTCTGTCCACTCCTGCCCCCAGTTTACCTTCAGAGCCTATGGAGCCTCAGTTGGCCAGACATCCCCCTAGGCCCCGAACCACTGGCCCCAGACCCCGTCAAGATCCCTATAAGACTGGACTGAGCCACTACACGAAACTCTTCAGCTTCTGTGCTAAGATGCCCATGGAGAAGAAGTCTCTTGAGATAGTAGAGAAGTGGTGAGTCCTAGACACCTGGGGTGGGAAGAAGAACCCCATAAGTCCTGAACAGACTGTTGAGTCTGCTCTATCCCAACCTTGGCAGCCTAGATAAGTTTTTCCAGCATCTGTGCGATGATCTGGAGGTATTTGCTGCCCATGCTGGCCGCAGGACTGTAAAACCAGAGGACCTGGAACTGCTGATGCGACGGTGAGAGGGTAGGAGGGGGAGGTTCTAAGGGTGAGTATGCTGGCGCCAATTTCATCTGTCCTTTTCTTCCTCTGCTGCAGGCAGGGCCTGGTCACTGATCAAGTCTCACTGCACGTGCTTGTGGAGCAGCATCTGCCCCTGGAGTATAGGCAGCTGCTCATCCCTTGTGCATTCAGTGGCAACTCTGTCTTCCCTGCCCAGTAGTGGCCAGGCCTCAGCACTTGCCCTGTCCCCAACCTGAGGCCCCTTAGTGTTACTTACTCCTCTAGGTCTTTTCCTTACTCCTCAGCATCAATAAAGTATTACAACAGAATATTCTGCATTTTGGTACATATCTTGGGGCTACCCAGGGAAGACGTATCCTCCTCCCCCCAACTCCCCAGCATAGCCTGGAGAATGGCGTAGGTTCAGATAAACAATTTTATACTAAGATCAGGGAGGAACAGTATACTGGAGCACTCAGGTTGCCCACAGCAATCCTAGCTTGCAGGCTCTTGCTCTCTTGGCCCTATGCGCCTTATGTCAACCACATGAAGCCGGTCCAGTATCAACTGGAGCTGTACCGCAATGGTCTCTTCCTTCTCGTTACCCTCCTCTGGCAGTTCTGACTCAGAGAGCTGGAAGGCCTGGCTGATATAAGTATTCATAGTCTGCTTGTCCAGGCTGGGGTCGTTGCTCATTAAGGCCCCACGCAGCTTGGATAGGGTCACCAAATCATAGCTGTGCCACAAGAAAAGAGAGACAGGCCTCAATCTCTCTTCCATGTGCCTCATATTCCCAGGTGCCCTCCCTTCTGCCAGCTTGAACAGTTGCATGCTCAGTGCACAGGGGCTTAAAGTGTCACCCTTTGCAATGATTAGGGGTGACTGGTGATTCACTGTGGATGAGTTGGTCTGAGGGGCCCAAGGTCACTCACGTTTCCATGCCCAGCTCCTGCTTTATCTCCTGTAAGTACTCATCCTTTTCCTCTAGGTATTGTTCCCACACCTTTCGCACAAAGGGCTCACGCCGGCCTTCCTCATCCTGGGAAGGGCCCCAATCAGTGACAGCACATTGGCTAGGTTCCAGACAAGGCTAGCATAGGGATTAGGCAAGTTCCTGGACCAACCCACCAACCTCCATAAATAATGAGCGGTAGCTGAGCACATCTGCACTGGTGCCATCGGAATGCCAGCCCCCTGCCTCCATCAGCTCCTGAATTTTCTCTTCCTTCTTGAGGGGGAAGGTATTCTTGAGGACTGTGCTGTGGGAAGACATGAGAGCCAACAGGGGCCTGCTGAGGCCTGCCCACCCATTTACCTCATGTTCAAAAAGGGCAGTGAGTATTGAGGCTGTGGCCTAAGATCTTGGCCAGATATGTTGGACAGACATTCAAGGTGGCCTGGACTGGTCTCTCACCTGAATTGCTCTATGGTTATTATCCCCTCATTTTGACTGTCAACATTTGTCATCTCCTTCAGCAGCTGGGTTACTGTCTCCAAATGCTTGACATGCATACTTTCATTTGTCTACAGGGAGAAATGCATTCACTAACTTGCTTCCTGGAGTGGTCGGGGCAGATCTGGGCTATGCTGGCCCCTCTCTGTCTCCTGAAGGGAAACAAGTGGGAAGCCAGGCCCAAGCTTACCTTTCCCATTAAGACTGCATAGAAGTGACTCATGACCTCGTTGGAGCGAAATAGTTTGATATTTTCAAAAATGGTGTATGCCCAGGCCATGGCATCACTGGTCCCAAAGCGACGCTCCAGAAAATTAAAGAAGAAGTCTTGAAACTTCTCTTTCTGTAGGATGGGATGCTTGGTCAGCCTGCCCCAGGGTAGGTTGGCCTGCCTCCCTCCTCCCTGGAACCTTGAGGGGGCCCCTTGGAATACTCTGGGATCTGAAAGCCACATCAGGCCAACATGGCTTGTGAGATCTGACCTCCTCCTCTGCAATACGTTCCTTCCAGGCATCTTTGAGGACCTCTATCACTTGCTTCCTGGTTGGCTTCTTGTTCTCCACAGGACCATCAAACCGAAGGAAAGAGGGGACAGATTCCCCATAGCCCTAGAAGGGAAGGGCATTAGCTCATCTCTGGGCCCATCTGCTGTCCTAACCTCATGTAGGGAAGAGCCCCACATGGTTCCCCCCAAAGCTCTAGTCCAGGTGTCCTCAAACTATGGCCCACAGGCCACATGCAGCCCACCTAGGACATTTATCAGGCCTTCTGGCATTTTTGCTGCCATTGCCTGTCCTGCTTAGCAGCCAACTCATCCCAGGGCCTGCAGTCTGGCCCTCCAACAGTCTGAGGGACAGTGAATTGGCCCCCTTTTTAAAAAGTTTGAGGACCCCTGCCTAGTCTCTAGCAGCAAGGCATGGTTGTCCTAACTCTGGTCCTAAGCCTCCCTCCTGGGGACTCCCCTACCAGACCAGAAAAGAAGTCTTTCCCCCGTAGCAGTCCCTCGCCAATCTCCTCCAGGAGCACATCCACCAACTGGTCACTGTTCTTGCCCTCAGTCAACAGTAGCCAACGCTCTGCGCCCCCAGCCACCACTTCTGCATGTGGGGAGAGGGAGCTGGAGTCCAGACCATGTGCTTCAGCAGGCCTTGGGGCCACAATGGTCATCCTTACCTTCGCACTTAGTCCAGTCAGGCCGTGGGGTGGAGGTGCGCTGGATCTCCTGCAGCTCAGCAAAGTACTGGTCGCGTTCCTTCAGTGTGTTCATGTGCAACTGCAGCAGCAGATCATGCTCCTTACGTACCTCCTCATAATCAGCTCTCAGGGTGTCCAGCTGAGGACAAGGTGATTGGTCCTAGCTGCCCACCTGCATGACCCTGCTCTACCCAGCCTAGCCCTATCTGCCCACCAGCACCTGCTCCTGAAGATCCCTGTTGGTCTTCTCCTGCATTTCAAAGTCCCTCCTGGGTACCACATCTCCAAAGTTGGCCTTCATGGTGTTGAGTTCCATCTGTGTACGGGTCAGGTCTTGCCGAGTCATCTTCAGAGCCAGTGTTAACTTCACGGGGTCCTCCCCCCAGACACCTGCCAGGGTCCCATCAGCCTATATCACCCTGACTCTAGGGTCTAGAACCCAGGGCTGGGTTGAGTATCCCTCAGGGGATGCCTGACGCCCTCTGCCCTCCCTGGTTGGGATTCCCTGGGTCTGCTTAAGCCTACAGTTTCAGGCTTAAGAAAAGCCCAAGACATGGGGTACCAGGCCTGTCCAGCCCACAGGAAGTCCAGGCTGCCTCAGCTGCTAGCAATGTTCTTACAATTCTCAGTCCAACTCAAGATCTGCAGCCCCAGGTGGTAGAAGGGATATTTCCCACCATGAGTGGGCATGCAATGAGCAGGTAGTAGGAATGTTGAATGAATGAAAGTGACTAGTGAGAGCAAGACTTTCATCCAGCAACTCTGAGGAGGAGAGAACCCTGTCTTGGACTTACCTGGGGACTGGGCTAATGACATGTCCTCCCGCTGGTACCGCAACTCATTCAGGTCCGTAATGAGGATCTTGCGGGCATCTCGCTCGCTGAGGTAGTGCAGGTACTCCTCAGCCAAGTTCTTCCTCAGTTTCTTCACCTGTTGGGAAGGTGGCTGTGTGATCAGGGGCTGCCTCTGGACTCTTGTATGTAGCTAGTCACCACAAGACATGGGATGGATGCTGGTAGCCCATCAGGGTCTGGGAACAGGAAAGGTGGAGGAAGAAGATTGGCCATCCTTGAGAACCCAGTAACAATTCCTCCCGCAGGGAAAGTGCTGGCACTTGGGCCATATAGAACCAAGGATGAGCCAAGCAGGAGGGCATGGGGTTGAGGAACCAGGGGCTCTGGAGGGTGGGTGGCTTAATGTGTTATTCCAGGCAGAGGGTGTAATGGCCTGGGAGTCACTTCAGTGTCCAAGACCTCAAGGTCACTCCTATGGTGTGGGGTGGCAGGAATTCAGGGACTTGAGTCATCACACCACTTCCATTTACCTCGCTCTGCAATGAGATCTTCTCCTCATTCTTTTTGTCAATGAGTTTTAGCAACTTCATCTTTTCTTTCTTGAGCATGGAGATCTCGTGTTTCTCCTCAGCCCTCATGGCCAGGATCCGCTCATTGCAGTCCTCATTCACAGTAATAAGTTTGGCCTTTAGGGGTTCCAGAGCCCTAATCTTCTCCCTTTGGTGGGCTAAGCAGAGACAGGTAGGAGAGTTCATTCAGAGCCATGGGGAACAGCCAGGAAACAGACCCTAAGGTCAATGGGTGAGTGGCTGCAGCATGTGCAAACTCCAGGCATCTAACCATGCTTCATTCAAAGCCGTGGTCCCTGTTTTAGGCCTTCCTGCACTTGCTTTTTTTTTTTTTTTTTTTTGCAGTTTTTGGTTGGGGCTGGGCTTGAACCCGCCACACCTGGTATATGGTGCCAACTCCCTACTCTTTGTGCTATAGGCGCCATCCTGCACTTGCTTTTAAATAAGGGACAGAGTTCAGATGAAGACTGGGGTCTCCCCTACAACTTTCAGTCCTGCAATTGTACATTTCTGCACCTCCGAAGTCTGGTGGGAAAACTACTAACTTTCCAGAGGTACTCACTCTCTCATGGGGTTCATGCTATTTCCTACAGACACTGCCCCATCATGCTGCTTGAGGATGGAAGTTGTCATGTGTCCTGGGGTGCCCTATCACAGAACAGTGTGTGCAAAAAAAGGCTGAGCAGGGCTTGGTGACTTTGAGGCCCAGTTGGTAGACGCTCCAGTCCTGCTTTGGAGCCCCAGAAAGTCAGAATAAGATCCTCTCTGCCCCTTCCAGGATGGGCCTAAGAGGAGAGCTACATTCTTTTTTTTTTTCTTGAGACAGAGCCTCAAGCTGTCACCCTGGGTAGAGTGCTGTGGCATCACAGCTCACAGCAACCTCCAACTCCTAGGCTCAAGCGAGTCTCCTGCCTCAGCCTCCCAAGTAGCTGGGACCACAGGCACCTGCCACAACGCCCAGCTATTTTTTGGTTGTAGCCGTCATTGTTGTTTGGTGGCCCAGGCTGAATTTGAACCCACCACCTTAGGTGTGTGTGGCTGGCGCCTTAGCCACTTGAGCCACAGGCGCCGAGCTGAGAGCTACATTCTTACCTAACATCACCTCGTATGCATTCTTGATGGAGGAAAGTAATGGCTTGTATGTTTTGAAGTCCTCTATGAAAAACTCAAAGATCTCTCTGTAAGGCTGGCAAAAAAGTAAAACTGGTCACCTCCTGGCCTATAGCCACCAGCCTCAGCATGGTGATTTTTTTTATTGGGCTTAGAAGTGTTTCTGCATGAATCTGCCAGGTCACCTATATTCAAGTAAATACCTCAGGTACCACCTGGGTCCCTCACAGTGCCATAGCGCCACAGGGCAGTGCTCTGGAGGCCTCTCCTGGTGCTATGTTTGAGGCCTGTTCCTATACCTTCTGCACAAAGGGCTCCAAAGGCAAGACCTCCCACTTTGGCCACCACCCTCCCTGTGTCTCCAGGTAACCAGCCAGCCTCTTGCCTTCCAATGCATCAGTTGGCCACTCACTTGCATTCTCTCCCCATCTTAAAGCTCCGTGGGAGCAGGAGGATATGGAAGGTTCTAGCCTTGCATTCTGACCTCCAAGTACAGGTGTGGTCTCCTGCCCCCTTGGACACATAGGAAGTTTTGGGGGCAGCATTGCTTACCGGAGTACAGGCCCCAGAATTAGCCCTGAGTTTGAATCCCCACCATGTCATGGTGGTGCACCTTCTCCAAGCTTCTGCTTCCTTGTTCGTGAGGTACCTTCTACTTGGGAGACTGTATGTGAAACCCCAGCCCAGGGCCTGGCACACAGCCAGCACTCAGTAAATGTATCAGTCAGTAACTAAGTCAGAAGTTAGGGATTCCCTATCATCACCTCCATCTGAGATGATTTGGTGATTTGCTCCTTCAGTTTTGCCAGAATCTGGGCTGCATCTAAACCTCTCTCTCTCTTCATGTGTCAAGCTAGTTCCTTAAGTTTGGGGTGGCAGGTAGACACTATATGACCCCTGCTGGCCCAACTGCTAGGATGCAGGTTCCATCCACTGACTTTCAATGACCCAACTTGGATGCTGCGGATTGCAGAACTGAAGGGGAGTGGGCACAGTATCCAGTCCACCTGACTTAGATGAGGAAAACTCAAGACTTAGGAGAGTTTGAGTTCCACACTATGGCCATGCCTGCACATAGGCTTTTTTATTGGATATGATTCTCTTTGGATAGGGAGACTCAGAGAGCTGGGAAGGGCCAGTCTCCTCTGAAGGTTTCAGGTACACAGTCCTGGTAGATGAAGTTTCTTCCCCCCTTCCCCCTTCCCTTCCCATGTTTATTCTATGGCTCTGACCTGCAGCCTCAGCTCCTGTGCAGAGTCTTTGCCCAGTTCCACCAGGAGGAGCTCCTTGCGTAGGTAGTTTTCCAGCTGCTCTAGGTACCTGGGCTTGGCAATGCCAATGGACTGCTGGCGCCAGCTACTGCAGGGGATGGTGGGCTGATATGTGACAAGCATCCTGCAGGGCCCTTGTACCCTCTGTCTGGGATAGTACACTCCCCTGCCCTGTCTCCTGGACCAGTCCCTGGTCTGTACCAGCTAGCCCATGGCTGACCCTGGGTTACCTTGATCGTTTCCGGTGGTCATCAGAACAGGGTTTTCGATTTTGCAAAATAGTCTGGCCACTGGTGTATGTGGGCCATGGGGACAGTTGCCCACACGTGGACATCTGAAAGGGTTGAAGGGAGGAACAGGTAGGTTGCAATAGCAACATTGCTCCCCTTCCTAATGTTCCTCTCTATCCCTCCTCCCCTACTTCTGATGTATTTTACAAACATCTTTTTTTTTTTTT